TAAATTCCTTCTCTTCACCTCTTTGAAACATTTGTGAGAGTGATGGGATGTCATCTAACCTTTCTAGTGTAAACACTAATGTAAAATAACCGCTGCATTACGTAGGAATGCGGAGGAATTTCTGATGGAGGAGAAGACAATTGCACAGCGCGATCCGCAGCGCAGCGTGCAGAGCGCCGCGGGGGGACTATATAAGAGAGGAAGGGACATGCGTTCTATCTTGCTCCAGCCTCGCTCAGCTCCACAAGTCAAAGGAAGAAATTTTATTATTTCATCTTCGCATTATTTCTGTCATGTGTTAGGCCACTATATGATACTCTATAAGCCCTGATTCTACTTGAAAATTATGTAAACGTTTGCCTTACTTGTACCAATAGTTAATAAGGATTCCGCGTTCTGCAGACCATGTTCTATTTAGTTACCGGATATAAGCATATGTATTAATGTTATTAAGTCATTGTAGTCAAGTTATACATGTATTTATGCTGTTGTAAACTTAAACAAGTTACCTGTTCATTAACATGGTCTGAAAAATTTATTTATTTGTTTCTACTGAAAAATTAAATAAAATAGTTCCCAATGCTGTCGTTGTCTCATTCCTCCGTTATCAGAAAATATTCATTTAGTGTATTTGCTGCCCTTTTGTCATTCATTATAGTTTGGTTGGTTTTGGTTAGGCTTTTAAAGGTCCTACCGAGTCCTTAGTTTTGGTTTTACTTCTTATATAGGCATAGAACGATTTTGGATCTTTCTTTGTTTTTTGGACACGTTTTCTTTCTTCCTTTTGGCTGATGTGATTTCCTGGGTGGCTGAGTTTAGTGCCCTTTTATACATCTCATAATTAATGATGTCTGTCGTGGATTTATATGTTCTCCAGAGGTTCCTCCTAGTTATCAATGCTTGTTTTACTGCCCGAGTCATCCATCTAGTTCACGTTTCTTCCTCCAATTTGGCGCACATTTTTTGAACGAGTTCCGTGATGACCTTCAAGTTTTGCCATATTGCTTCCATGTCATGTTCACCTATTAGCTTCCTCCAGGAGATGTTTTGCAGTTCCTCTCTCATTCCTTGATAGTCACTTTTTTATTTTATATTATATATACAAGAGTTCTTACATTCTTGTACAGCCACTAGCATGCATAGCATTTCGGGCAAGTCCTTAATCCTAATTTTCTCCAGAATACTATCCGCCAAATAATTTAACAACCAGGTACCCATTCACTGCTGGGTGAAAAAAAAAGAGGCTACAGTTAAGGATTGGCGCCAAGTAAATCCTCCCCGGCCTAGATACAAACCCAGGCCAAAGCGCTCATAAAACGCAAGGCGAGTGTGTTACCACTTCGCCACGGGGACTACTGTAAATTGATGGTAATCTAGAAATTCATCATCATGAACCTTTATGTTGGTTTCTGTATTTATAGTCCATCTTAAAATATGGTGATCACATGACGGGGTTAGCTTTCCCCTATCTGAATGTGATCAATCATACCCTCTTCTGATGTTAGCACAATATCTAGTATGCTGTTACCCTCGTGTTGGCTCTACCACATGCTGTGTGAGAAAGGAGTCCTGAACCAGATCTAGAAATTGTTCTCCCTCTACTAGTAATGTTAGATTTACCCAATCTATCGTTTTCATGTTTAAAATTCCCCATTATTAGGGTTTGGATTTCTGATGCCACTTTGATCACATTACGCAGCAACATCCTCTACTGCTGTCATACCATAAAGCATACTCTTTGTAGCACACTCCCATAGTCATTTTGCTACCATCTTGAGTTAGTATGTTGCACCATACCAACTCTGAGGATCCCATGGTCTTTAGTTTCTCATTATTGTTGCATCCAGGTCCTCTTTCACATATAGCCTTATCCCACCTGCTCTTGTTGTTCTGTTCTTTCTGAAAGGTGGGTGGTATTCCACGAGATGGAATTCCCCTTCTATTATGTCCTCTCGTCTCGTCTCAGGTTGTTACACCGTATAGGACCATCAAATGTAGGAAGCCTCCCATCCACCCTAAGCCCACTACATTTCATCAAGTACAGACCATTAGCACAAAAGAAGCATTGTTCATACCCCTTGCTCGTGAGGACATGAATGGTGACCGCCCTGCAGCTAAGTAGACTTATCCGTTCTACAATGAGTTACACATTGGTTTGAATGGGAAGCAGAGGGAAAAGCAATGCTTATTTTAATTAACCTTGCTTTCCCTCCCCTGTATCAAGGTGATGGAGCAGGGGGGAAAGCAAGGTTTATTTTAATGTGTCTTACAATCATCTGTCCAACAAGTCAGTTGTGAATGACATCATGGGCAAGCTATCTATTACCACCACCACTAAGTGCATGCCCTTCACCTTCCTGCTGACTATCCCGTAATGTCCTTATCCTATTACGGGCCGAGATGCCAAACAAATACCGTGATATTGTGTGCTCATCACACACACTGTGATGATGAATGCAATCTACAAGTGCTGCAAGGGGAGTGAGACAGATGTAATCCTGGAGAGAGGAGTTATTGCCGAGCACTCTGTCGTTCGCACGCTGAAAGACAAGCATTACAAGATGTGGCAGCATTGAATGAGAACAGGTTGATGAGTCAACTGGTGCAGGAGAGGCCCACGCCACACCTGGCTGATGACACATGGAAAAACATAAGAGATTCAGAGAAATACGAATCTCTTCCAAGAATACTGCACTGATGCTCACTCGTGCAACACTGGTGGATGATGCTGACCTCGATGGCCTCATCACCAACTTATTTACCCATGAATGGGAGGAAAAGAGATAAGAGTACCAGGCAGAGCCCTGGTCTCTATCTTAATAAAAGCAAGTAATTATCAGAAGATAGTGCTAAGCCAGGACGAAAATGGAGCACCATTTGTGTTGCTGGATATTCAAAAGACACAAGTTTCCCCTCAGAATGCCAATACAAGAATGAAAGTGTTAAATTGGATAATTATTCCCAAAAATCAGACCTTATCAGTACAAAACCTTGTTCTTAAATGCTAATCGCAAGAAACTCTTCCTTGTTAGATGTAATGGAACCCATGAGCACCACATCATGAATAAATATATCTTTTTATATATATCTAATTAGACAATCTGTGCAAACACTCCATGCAAATAATAGAACCCAGTCTATGGAACTCGGTCCCTAACAAATTAAAAAATAAAATAAACTACCGTAATTTCATTCCCATAGTTTCCTATCATGTGCTTCGAACTCTCACTGTACCTTGTGCTACCCACTCACCCTATTTTAGCACCCAAGACATGCAACTTCACTAGTATAATCAATACTATCAATTTATATTCTAGTTATTATGCTGAACTCAAATTTTACTACAATGTACTTTTAAATACACTTACTTTATCCGTTAGATTAAGAACCTGCCTGAAATTCCATGTATTAGTAGCTTTGCAGGAATGTAAAAACAGCAATGTTCTGTACTCTCACAACCCAATGTACCTTGCATATAAATAAATAAATAAATAAATAAATAAATAAATAAATAAAAGGACATAAGGCGGGCAACATCAAAGGTATCAGATTCACCAAGGATTCTATCGAAGGACAAATTACCCCGAGGGTCATAAGGAAAGCAAGACATACGATTGTCTTGAAAATTCTACAAGGAGGTACAGTACACAACTGCGAGACACATTGCTGTTCCGACAATTAGGAGCACCATCAATTAATGGTGCTCCATTAAGTACCCACGAGTTAAGCATGTGGCCAGTACATAACCTAGCTATTGCGACAACCAACGATTCCTACATCTGAAATATGGGTTTGATTGGTTTGATGTTCGTCTTGTCCTCTCCAATACTTTGGCAAAACTGGCCGTACACTTAATGATACTTAAAGAACACAAAAGAAGTGTTAAGTCTGCTGACACAAACAATGCTCTCTTCTGTCATGTTAGGGATTCTAATCATCCTATTGATTGGTCTTCCTTTAAAATTATCTTTTCTGTCTCTACTCTACACAGACGCCGTCTCGTTGAATCGGCTCTAATACACAACGTACCCAACATGAACTTGAGTCCTGGCTTTGTTGCTGTTGACTCTTCCCTTTCACAGTATATGCTTAAATGCTCTAAACTTTCTAACAAACGTGACCTAACATAAGCTTACACTTCCATTTATCTTTCTTTCTTTTTCTTTCCATTGTTTTCTCTTACTTATTCCTACTATTTCCCCTTCTTATTCCTTTTACTATCCCCTTCTTATTGGGTGGTATAAATAGGAGCTGCCTCGTATGGGCCAATGGGCCTTCTGCAGTTATCTTTGTTCTTGTGTTCTTGTTATCTCATTCTTACTATCCTCTTTATTACACCTTTTCTTCCCTACCTTTGCCTTGCATTGTATGTACTAGCTCTATCTATAAATTCATCAATATTTGTATCACCCCTTGTATGTATGTACTTTACCTAAATAAACATTTGAATTTGAATTCTTCTCCTCCTGCTTTCTTCTGCCTATTTATTGCCTTCTCCTTCAATCATATTTTTGTTCCCAGTAGCTGAATCTATAACAACAACTTCAATCATCACAATTGACTTGAGAATGGTCCAGGACGGACCGAAATGTCGTCGTCCCTTCACTTTCTGGTGTGTGGTCTGGTCAACATGGGTTTGATTGCTCATAGTATAGTGCATTTTCAAAAAAAAAAATTCCACCTATTCATCATTTTCATTATTCTTTCATTGGGTACGAGGGCCACTCATTAATTCAAATTCCAGAGAAGATAGAAAATATTGTTTACATATCGCCCACTAACAAAAAAGTTTAATTAGGACCACTGTTTATAATGTAGTATTGAGTAGGCACTATAGCTACCACTCCTAAGACATTCATGCATATTTATTAATCAGTTCATAAAGTTAAATGTTCATCTGTCTCATATTCTGACTACTGTTACTATTACTGTACTACTACACCAATTGATAAAAATGGTTAATGAATATACCAATATGGGAATGAAATAAATCTTGCATAAATATACCATAACCTGTATTTTCTGAACAGTAGCAGCATAGCTTAGTAATGATCATAAAGGCACAATATAAAATTAGAACATTGACAATTCTAAGTATTTTAGATAAAAATGATCAGGTAAGCTCCAGATACAAAAATGCTGAGTGCATATAACAATGGGAAACATTACCAGGAGAATGTAAAAAATAAATAATTTTCCTGAATTCCATTCCTTGTGGCGATTCTTTGAATAAATCACGTTAATTCGCTCATTGGCTGAACAGTGGCTCATCTCATCCTATTACAAATTATGTCACTAATATTTATAAAAGTTTTGTACCATTGTTCAGGATAATAAATATAGTGATGACAATTTACAGCTGAAGCAGTGGGATTCGTATTTAAAAAATACTTACATGATCAATTATACCACAGACTTCAAAGAAGGCATAAAGAAAAAAAAAAAGAGAGAGATTGTAAGGCAAAACATTTATATAATGCACCATATATCCATTTTACATTTTCAATTAAGATTATCACATCGCCAGTCTCTGCGAAGTTCCAACAGCATCATGCCACTCAATTCTCAAACTTTCGTGTGCCTTGCCGACCTTCCCATCATTTAGTTTGGATTAGAGGGTTGTGAGGTACACTGCCTGTATCAAGTAAAATTAAATTTAGTTTCCTGTTTTGAGAATTTATTGGATAAATTATATATTAAACTTTTATACTGGTTTTTAAATAATTATAAATATACATTCTAACAATATATCAAGCAAGAACTCTTATACTCTAATGGATATGAAATTATAATTTTAAACGGAAAACTATCCAAAATGCCGAGTAAAACTCGATCTTATCACTCGTAACTATTAACCATTTAGCTGAGACAACATTATTTTTAGCCCTATTCGTTACCAAGGACTGATGTACACAAAAAATTAGATATTGACAAGCAGCTAATTTTTTTTTTTTACTCAAGTTACTTTTCATGTTCTAGGGTCATTTTTCGAGAATCAATTGCTATCATTTAGCACAGCAAAAGAGTTAAATGAAATTACTTTATCAAGTGAACCATCATGTGATTGAATGCACTATAATTTAAGAGAAAACATTTATATTTAATACTAGTCCCAAAATCACTAAAGTTAGATATAAGCTCAAGCTAAAAGAAAATAATGTACTGTACTAAAAATTATATGACAAATTTCCTTGGCAAAATTAACACATTCACTGTGAAACTACATAATGACAGACTCCCCAAATAAACAGTATGGTATTACTTAGAGCTACTTAAAGGACCATGGTTGACTCCTTTTTATTTAAAATAATTAAAATTAAAAAAAAAATATTTAAAACGCAAGACATATTCAACACGGCTAATTAAACAGGTTAATTCAACACACAAAGCAAAGTTTTCTAATATCTAATTACAGTACAGTACTTGCATTAATAGAACTGTTGCAAATGCGTTTCCAACACTGTTGACATTACGACTTTTTTTTTTAACTATGCTGTTTATGAATACTGCTATTTGCCATTTTCTTTTTCCAAAGAAGAGTGTGGATACAAGACATAACTGCCTACACAAGCACCATTGAGAGAAGACTCTAGTCAAGTGTCATACAAAGTTTCTGCCTTAATTAAAGCCTTCCTTTTTTCCAGACAACCGTTTCTCCCACATTTGAACAGTGAGAAAATTGCATGATATGTAACATTTTCATACAAATTCCATCTAAAGTTTTAATATACATTCTAGATATTTCTCTTAGCCATTGTAATATACCACGTAGTGCTACCATTTTCTTTGCGGAAACCCAGTAGAGCAAAACCTAATCCAGCAGAATACAATACCTGTAGTAACAGCAGGTCATTTCTACAAGGGATTGGATACAGTAGACAATCCTACTGATAAAGTATTTAACAAATTATGTAGTTATATAGAAGAGTGTACGGATTGTTATGAAATACTTCTTTCTCAGCCAGTTTGTCAAATTATCCCCAAGTCAGAGTCTATACGACCAATCCAGGATTCATGGTCTTGTCATGTAATTATGGATGGCAGACAATGAAGACAAGAGGAAAAATTATGGCGACTGGAGCATACAAGGGACGGGCTCAACAAGGAATGCTTCATTAAGCTTGATATTCTACTTTTGAGCCAAGGCTTCCACGATGCTCTCCGAGTCAACTTCTTACGGCATACAAGACCAGAGAAAAAACACACATATGAAAACTTAACCCCTGCATTGCACAAAGTGCCTTAAAACGCTCGACTGGTGGTGTTCATGGTGCCTCAAGGCACTCGTAGGTATATCAAAAACTTAAGAACTGGAAATGTCCAAGTGGAGGAAACCAATCTCTCAATCGAGACAGGATGTTAAAAGCACCATTAAACCAAGAAACCCACATTGGATCAGAAAAGGCCTAGTCAAGGAGAAAGAGGAAGCTGGATGAAATGACAAACATCCACAGGGAAAAACAGGATACCACAATGGAATCCAAGGCCCTCACAGATGCAGAGACTTTGCAAACTCGCTTGGGAAGTAGAGCACCACTCTTGCAAAACTAAGACAACTAAACTGGAAGCAGAAGCACACAAATGGATGTGAGGAACCTGCCCAGAGAACCGAAGAACCAATAAGGAGCAACCGGAACACCCGCCCTGTTCTCTAGGTAAAACACCGAGGAAATTTACAGCTTTACCTAACAGTAAAGTCTCAAAAGTATAAATAAAGGTGCTGGGTGTTCCCAACACATAGGTTCGGATCTTCATCACAGCTCTTGTGGATTGTCTTATACAAAGTCTGCTTAAAAATTTTCATTTGCAGGTAAGGAAGAGAACCAACTTGGAAAGAAAATGCAGATGACACTACTGAAGGAGGAAAAAAAAAAAGCGAAAATGCTTTAGCAGATATAACTAATCCAACAGATAAAAATAATTTCAACAGGGAGATTGAAGAATTAAAGCAGAAACTGAATCAAACCAGACAGAAGAAAATAAATTGGAACAGAAAACTACACAAGATACGAAGAATGCTACAAAATATTTCTTCACATATGTGAAATCAAAATCAAAGCCTCCATAAATACTTGACCTATACTTACAAATGAAGGCTCATACACAGAGGATGATAAAAAAAATTATTGAATTCCAAAAAGATCAGCATGAGGCTGTGTTTAGCAGCATAATAAACAACACAAAAATGGCAGACCTGGACCGTTTCATTACGAAGGATATCCAAACCCCCTAGCAATATAACCGATATCAACATGAACACTGCAGATTTTGAAAGACATTGACAACATGCCCATTCAATAAGCCCCAGGTTCAGACCCCATGGAATTCCATATTTATAAATAAATGTAAATTACCAGTAGCACTAGCATTTAAATCAGTAGACATAGCTCTTAAGATATCAATCTTAACCTATAGTACTTACAAATGGGGCAACATTCAACAGAGCAGAAGAAATTTTTAAACACATGAGGCAAAATCTTACTAAAGCGACCATACGAGTCATAAGTATTCATACTTCACCTAAGTAAAACAGAAACAAGCAACACTTAGTGGGCCAGCCAGAGGCTTAGGGGCCGTGCAGGAATATCCCTGGAAAAAAAATAGTGATGGATATTCAGTTTCCTGTCTAGCAGAATACAGAAATAAACAAAATCAAGCCCAAGCGCAGTGAAAAACTCTGTATGTCAGGACACTTACGTTTCACCATTGCTTTTTACCATTCTTATATCAGATAGACAAAAAACACAAATCACAGCTTTATGTAATCTTTTGCAGATAAAAAAATCAGCATGAAAATGTTGATTTTATGCAGAAAATGTGAAAAAAAAAGAGATGTGAAGATGTGACTAGAACACAGGCTGTGAACAATATATATAGATACAGTATTTAAATCAAACTAAACCATAATGTATCCATACTGGGAAAATATAATACTGTACAAGTAACAACATATTTACAACTATAATTCAAATAATAATATCAATACAGCATAGACTTTCAGCAACAACAAAATCGGCTGGTTAGTCTCAGACGCGTCCCCAGAAAACATACGGTAATTGTGTTTGGAACTTACTTCATACATCACCTACACTATATATATACAATGATCACAGTTGCAACTTGACACACATAAACACGCACTCACACAGCAAAGGGTATGATGGTCGTCTTGACCTCTTTTCCCCACCCCACCTCCCCTACCATCTCCTCACACCCAGGAGAGGGGAGGGGGTGGAGGATACAGACATCAGTGCGGTAGGTCATGCCTCATAGGAGGGCCAGGTTTCCGAAGTAGGCTGGACGTGGAGTGGGTGTGCCTACAGGAGGGTCAGTACAAGAAGCCACATGGGTAAGGATGTGTAAAACATTTAACAAATATTAATAACAAAATTCATACAAATTGTAAGTGATTAAGGCTCATGTAAAATGATTAATACTTTTTTATGCCCAACAGAATAGTGTATTTTTCATGTAAACTTTTAGAATATTCTATTAAAAACAATGTTATCAACAATTCTAAAACCTAAACTTTGGTTTACATTTTTAATGCCAGATTTCATTATTCAAAAGCAAGACAAGCACTTGTCCAGCATGCAAAGAAAAGCAAACTTAGAAATTTAATACATGCAGTCAAGAGCTCAGGACTGTATGAAACAACTAAATGAAACCAATGCTCCAAAATGCAGCTTAAAATTGGCTGCATATCTGGTCTAATCAAGCTACCTTGAAAATAAGTAAAAATAATTCACACTAACAGATATCATAATATCTTAAACTTTCACTGTAACCAAACACAAGGCAAGTTCTATGAACACAAGCTGACATTAGCAACTTACTTGAGGGAATCATTGTGAGTTTTGTACTCCATAACTGTATTAGGAGGAAGGTTAAGGACTCGTTTCAGAGTGTCACGAATTCGCCCTGTAGTGAGTGTGTCCTGTGCAGTGCGATTCCAAACAGAGATTATGTCCTCCTGTGAAAATAAATTAGTGTTGAAGAAAATAGAGGAGTGTTAATTTTACACAATACAAATAACACTTTTGTATTCAGCCAAAATATACTAAGCACTGTAATCAAGTGCATATACAATAATGAGCTAATAATGCAGTAATAACGAAGACATTTTAAGCCTCGCACATTTTGCACTAAAGTTGTATAAACATGCATTGATTATATTTAATTATCTTTGTGTTTTTAACATTTTTACTATGGTTCACAAGTGCAGTGATGCATTGGGCTGTCAATAATGTTATTTATAGTATATCACAATGTGTACAGCATCAGTATACACAGGTTTATTGTTTTAAGTACTTTACAGTAAAAAGCACACCACAATATAATATTAGAACAATAAAATACTGTTTTTGATATTATCACACCATATTTACATGTTATATATAAATATCTACATGTTTGTGCACTGTTGCAAACTACTAAACAGTTCTGACGAGTGTGATAATCTCAGAACCATTAATCCAATAACACATTAATTCAAAAACAGAATAGCCTCACATGCTCGCCAATTACCAAAATCACCTGACAATGCAAGGTATTGCCAAATGTACTACACACATTGTTAACTCTACCCAAAACATTTCCATAATTATCAGAGTCCTGGTCACTGAATCCTGAATATGAATAATTTTTCACATGTTAATTTGCTAAAGGAATGCAAAATCCCATCACGTGAGTAGTAGAGGCACCAAACTGAGGTTGTGCGCCACTGCTGTCTGCCTTGCTCACCAGAATTGAAATTTACTGAAACCTGAACCTTGTACAGTACATAATCTTTTATCACTGTCAGGGTCTTCTATGTCACAATCATCAATAAATAATTGCAGATATTTATTTCATTTCATCAACAATAAGTGATGCTGTGGGCATGAACAGCAGGTTGGTGGTAGTAGTGTTAGCTGCTGCTGCTGTATAAGCTACCCATGGTTGCTGTGTTAGAACTGAGGGGCCCCTCACACCAAGGTGGGGTGCCCAAGATTTTTGTTTACCAAGGAAAGGGAAGGGAGCTATCAGGAGAAAGCGCCAAGCCATTACAACTATATAGCACTTGGAAGGGATCAGGATAAGAATTTGAGAAGGAACGAGGAAGGGGAGGGGGGAGGAATGGTACCCAACCACTCGGATAGTTGGGGATGAATGCCAAGATGGAGTCTGTTTATTGGAGACCTGAGAAAGTGGATGGAAGCCCAGTGTAACCGTAGGAGTTTTAAATCTTGTGCTAGACCTAAAATTAACCCTGGTTGACATGCACACTGCTGATGAAATGACCCTGGTTGGTATGCACAGTTAAAATGTTAGGAAATGTCTGATCAAAGGAAGACTGAACAACTAAAACGGAACCTCAATGAAGCAAAACGAGTTAATGAGTGTAGGCATTAAGATTTTTTTTCTAAAAGGTGATAGGACTCAGGGAACATGTGAATGGACCATGAAAACAAACCTTCAAAAGCATTAGACTGAAGGGAAGTAAACAATAAAAGAGGAAGGAACCTATACCAACATAGATGGGGGCAAAGATAAAAACAATGGAGTTAAATAATTTAATTCAGCTGAAAAATACCTGATATTGATGCATAGAAATAGAAATGTGATTGTACAGTATTCCCAAAGGACTGCTTAATTTGGAGATATGATAGAAGACACTGAAAAGGTTGAGACATCACTGTGCTAGTCAAAGAATAACTAAATTTAGAAGCATTATCATGAAAGATGGTGATTAATTTGGACTCATTATGATGACCAGACCACACACTAGAAGGTGAAGAGACAACGACGTTTCAGTCCGTCCTGGACCATTCTCAAGTCGAATCGACTTGAGAATGGTCCAGGACGGACTGAAACGTCATCGTCCCTTCACCTTCTAGTGTGTGCTCTGGTCAACATAATTTAGCCATGTTACTGTGACTCATTGCCTGCTTTGGCCTCATTAGACTGGGAGGCCTACAGGGAAACACAGAAAATATAGACTGGAAGATTTGTGAATGTCAACCTGGAGACATTCAGATCTCAGCATGTTAGGCAGGGCAGGAAACTGAGGAAAGGGGAACATTCCATCAATGATGTATCCGATATTTATCAGGAAAGAAAATTTTGAACTTTAAAACCTGCCTCCACTAGGTAAGAGCAACCAGTTCTTTTTAGAAATTAAATATACTTTATGTTATAATCTATAAGAAGCTGGGGAATGTGAGACAGCAGAGAAACTACTTCAAGAGAGAACACTATACATAAAGATTTGTTATGCAAGGAAATAAACAAAATACGCATGCAAAATTTTGATATATATATAATTCATTGTTGGGAACAGGAACCCTATATGTATCTGGAGCTTAAATTGCACTCCTTCCCCCCCCCCTCCCCCAAGATCGAACCACTGACCCTCCCCAAGACAACCCCTTAACAGCTACATAAACCTTGGGTACCTATTTACTTCTTGGTGAATAAACTCATGAAGCAAAAGAAAACTTGCCCATTTCTGTTCTGCCTGGGAATCCAACTCAAGATCCCTGATTGTTAGTTGAGACTGAAGCCAAACAGAGATACAGAACTGGAAAACATGATTGATTCAATGGAAACTATATGAGTGCCAGAGATCAAAAGATAAAAAAAAATGGAATCAGTATAGGATTTGATGTTAATTTCTGATCTCCATGCTTCCTTTGTCTCTACCAGCATGCCTGATTCTGGCCCTGGGGCCAGATTCACAAAACAGTTACGCAAGCACTTACGAACCTGTACATCTTTTCTCAATCTTTGGCGGCTTTGTTTACAATTATTAAACAGTTAATGAGCTCCAAAGCACCAGGAGGCGGTTCATAACAATAACAACAGTTGATTGGGAAGTTTTCATGCTTGTAAACGGTTTAATAAATGTAACCAAAGCCGTCAAAAATTGAGGAAAGATGTTCACGTTCGTAAGTACTTGCATATCTGCTTCGTGAATCTGGCACCTGGTGTTCTGCAGGCCTGAACAAGTCTAGAGGCCTGGTAGGTTTTGTGCATGTGTCTGTGGCACCAGAGACGTGCACCAGAACAGTACTCAGCTCCAACCCAGAAAAATTAATAAAAAATATATTAGCAGATTTGAACATTATTAACAGATAACAATAATTTAACAAAGCTTTTTCCTGGAGAAAGCATTCTTTAAACAGAGGTAAAGTTAGGACTTGCCTGAAATCGAACAGATATAACAGCACCACAAATCTCGTCTCCAACCAAGAATTGCTCCCCTAGCATTGCCAAGATCATGTTCTCCCAACACCGTGAAGACAGTCCTTTCCGTAAACGCACAATCCATTTTCCCCCATTTTTATTTGCACCATCCTTTAAAAAAATTAAGAGAAACAGCTATGGTAACAAAGTATATAATTATCATTAATGTCATTGTCAGTCAATATTTCTCATGCTAACAAAAAAAATAACAAAATTACAATGGGACCTCCAAAACCAAGTCTTGCATATCGCAAATTCCTCTAAATGGACCAATTCCAAGCACCAGATTGAAGCCCTTAAAATTTAGATTTGTCTGATAAAGATATGAATTCCAGAGGGGTCATCATATAAAGAAATTTTAATTTTACTTATATTTTTTGTATTTTATTATCTTTCAGCAAAAGTTAGAGTTTCGGCTCATAGCATGTGTCAAAATTTGAACAGGTTCCCCACAATATTTAATACAAAATCCTGAGCAAAATAAAGCTTTCAGCATGAAAAGGTATTTGCTAGGTTGACTGTTAAGGGACCATACAAACATGAGTTAGAGTCACTGTAGCAGACCTGTTGGCTCAATCTGGGTGGTACTCGTCTACATCCAACCCCCTCTCTTCCCCATGTATCTAAAAAGAGTATTTTTAATGCTAACTATACCATTTGGAGTACTGGTTACCAGACCAGTACTCTAAATTGCTCGTATCTTACTGATGCTCGTATCCCCCTGTTGATAATCCTTATCTTAAGCATGAGGACACTAGCCTCTAAGCCTATACAAAATAAGGCTTAGAGGCCAGTTTAGAATGAAATAGCAAGGGTGGTGATATTTCCATGCAGTCAGGTTTTATTGGTAGATATCCATTGCATGACAAGTTGCAATTAAGATTTTGCCGAGTATAATTTACCCATAGATCATGGTAAAATGATGCGTATAAATGGTACCTCCTGTGAAATTTCTCTAATTGCGGTATTAATTTTCCTTTAAATGAGTTCAAGCATAGAAAAAGTAGTTTTTCATGAGAAACTCACCGAGAAAAAGTTAATTCAAAAGTCGATAGTTGATTTTCCTTTGAGTTTGACAAGTCATTAGCTATAAAAAAAAAAAGCTGGAAATTTTTTTTTATGTAATTACCAAAAATGGTCAATTATTCAGAAATCTAAAGAATTCACGAATCTGAATCAGGTCGGGAACTATGCCATACAGATTTTGGAGCACCCACCATAAAGTATTTCTAAGTATCACAAGTAATAAATTCCCTCTAACATTTACCTCCCACATGGGCTTTATTCCATCTTTAAAAATATGAATGTCAGAGTGTGATGCAAGATGAGTTGGCCGGGCTAAATAACTGTAGAAACCCCAAAACTGTTCCACAGAAGCAAACCTGGAAAACGTTAGCAAATGTCACATTACGATGGTACGACAAAGCCTAAAATTTAAAACAATCTCCAGGAGAAACTGAGTGACAGCAATTTGCAATATACAGTACTGTATATATAATTACATTTAAATAAACCATATCTATAAACACAGAAATCACAATAATGCGATATATCGAATGAACAAATCCACAAGGGTCATGATGAGGCTACGAACCTAACGCACGCACGCCTATGCACGCAGAACCTAATGAACCTAATGCACGTAGGGAGCCAGTCGGCCGAGCGGACAGCACGCTGGACTTGTGATCCTGTGGTTCCGGGTTCGATCCCGGGCGCCAGTGAGAAACAATGGGCAGAGTTTCTTTCACCCTATGCCCCTGTTACCTAGCAGTAAAATAGGTACCTGGGTGTTAGTCAGCTGTCACGGGCTGCTTCCTGGGGGTGGAGGCCTGGTTGAGGACCAGGCCGCGGGGACACTAAAGCCCCGAAATCATCTCAAGATAGGAAGATAACGCCTTTTGATCATGTCGTGGTACAGCTGACTAAGGCGCATCTGGGAACATCCCGTGCGTAGGTTCGAACCCTCATCATGACCCTTGTGGATTTCTTTATTAAAACATATCTACTTTCTAACATATACAATCTCCTTTAAGAATGTTGCCTTGCATGTAAAATGGGTCATAAGGTTTACCCAGTTAAGAAATAGATGACATCTTATCCCGGTCATATTATAACCTAAGATTTAGAACACAGGTTACTAAGCTCAGCCATTTCCAGAGTGATGACAAAATAATGAATATTCAACAGGGGACAAAAGTTGACCAAGAAAGAATATTACTAAGAATATATATGTATTCTTAGTATGTGTATGAGTATTTGTATTAAGTACGTGTATTAAGTATGTGTACAAGAATATCACAAAAGAAATATACTTTTATACTCAAATTGGCATACAATTCTAAACAAAATTTTGAGAAGTGAGGCAAATAAGGAGGAAAAAGTCTTTAAATAACTGTATGCAGATTGGAAACGTATGTTTAACTCTGCTCCTCCATTCCATAAGTCCAGGAGCTGACGGAGAAAAGGTGATTAGTGTGACACACACACTCCAGGTGTTGTCCCATCTCTTCCAAGTGGCAAAGGATTCCACCAAGAAGTGCATGACCCAGTTCTTAACTTAGTATGACTCCACTGGCAGTACTACTACAGATTCTGGTGAAGGCTTATTGGCCCTGGATTGCCAGAATGTTTATCCCTTAGGCAGCTGTCGTCATAGGTTGATCCTTGGGGTAATGCAGTCATCATTATACAATGATTTAAACAGCTATTGTCTGGGTTTTATATGTATGATGCAAATATAGATATAATTGCTCTCTATGGATGTAATGGAGTTTACCTTGACCCCATGAAAAAAATCCTGTGGTTACGTGTACTTAGTGAATGTGGCTATCATCAGGAATGTTATTGGGACAAAAATTAGGCAAGAAGAGAAGGGTGGGCAGATTGAATTTTATTAGACTGTCAGAAAGCCTTTGACACAGTATTCCACAAGAGGCTGTTACAAAAGTTGGAGAAACAGGCAGGAGTAAAAGGTAAGGTGCTCCAGTGGATAAGGGAGTATCTAAGCAACAGGAAACAGCGAGTAACTGTTGAACGAGATAGAAAAAACATCAGAGATAAAACATCAGAGTGGCGAGATGTCACCAGTGGAGTCCCACAGGGCTCTGTACTTGGACCCATCCTGTATGATATATGTAAACAATCTTCCAGAGGGTATAGACTCATTCCTCTTAATGTTTGCAGATGATGCAAAAATAATGAGAAGAATCAAGACAGATGAAGATAGACAGAGACTACAGGACGACCTGGACAAACTAGAGGAATGGTCTAGAAAATAGCTACTAAAGTTTAACTCAGGAAAGTGTAAAGTAATAAAATTAGGTGAAGGGAGCAGGAGGCTGAATACAAGGTACCATCTAGTAGGTGAAATCCTGCAAGAGTCAAATATAGAGAAAGATTCGAGGGTTGATATCATACTGAACCTGTCCCCAGAAGCCCACATCAAAAGGATAATACAAATCAGTGATATATGATAGATTGGCCAACATAAGAACTGCCTATAGAAACTTGCGTAAGGAATCATTCAGAATCTTATATACCACTTATATCAGACCAGTTCTGGAGTATGCAGCTCCAGCCTAGAATCCATACCAAGTTAAACACAAGACAAAGTTAGAGAAGATTTAGAGGTATGCCACCAGACTAGTCCCAGAACCGAGGCATGAACTATGAGGAAATGTAATAGGAGCTAAGCCTTACATCACTGGAAGACAGAAGAGTTAGGGGATACATGATCACCATCTACAAGATTCTCAGAGGAATTGACAGGGTGGACAAAGACAAACTATTTAGCATGGATAGAACACTAACAAGGGGACACAGGTAGAAACTTAGTACCCAAATGAACCGCAGAAACATTAGAAAGAATTTTTTCAATATCGGAGTATGGAATGCATTAGGCAGTGATGTGGTGGAGGCAGACTCCATACACAGTTTTAAATAAGATTTGATAAGAACCCAATAGGCTCAAGAATCTGTACACCAGTTAATTGACAGTTGAGAAGTGGGACCAAAGAGCCAAAGCTCAACCCCCCACAAGCACAACTAGGTGAGTGGGAATGCAGTCATCGTCATACAATGATTTACTCATCGTACAATTACACATGATTTAAACAATCATTGTCCGAGTTTTACATGTATGACACAAATATGGATGTACTGTACATCTATTTTAATTTTATAATGTTAAAATGATAATCAAAATTTGTACCTACCTTCCTATTAGCTGCAGGTTCTGGTCATAATTTTGTGTTGTTGCTTGCTTTCCTGGCGCCCGACGACTGAACCAAATGCAGTATGTGTACTGGAGTCGGTGTTCACCTGGCTTGACCTCAACTGGAGGCTATTGGAATAAAATATTAAATCTTATTAAATAAATACAATACAGGACAAAAAATTGGAAAATATCTACTGTAAATGGCCAACTAAAAGGCTAGTCCAAATATAAAATAATTTCAGATATATAAGAAAACAGCAACAGCTTTATAATAATTGCAGAATCAAACAAATTGCTTACTATATATAGTATTCAAATTTTTGTTAAAGAGACTGACTAGGCCTCCTCGTCAGTGGTATGGTCAACTAGACTTTCAGACATGGCCGCTGGCAGCCCGACGTATGAATCACAGCTTGGGTATTTAGGTATCCTTTGAGGGTGTTTATCAGGTTCTCCTTCGAACACATGAATGGTCGGCCAGTTGTGTAGTGTAGAAGGTGTGTGTTAAAAAGTCTTTGATGTTGATAGAGTTCTCTCTCTGCATAATTACTGCACATCTACTTTTCAACTGGGCTATTTTGCAGTTGCCATGCCTGCTGGTCTCATGTGATGCTATTTCTGTGTGCAGATTTGAAACCAGCCCCCTCTAATATTTTCCATGTGCAAATTATTATGTATCTCTCCTGCCTGTGCCCCAGAGAATAAAGATTTAGGCATTTTAGTTGGTACCGGTAATTTAGATGGTTTATTGAGTGGATTCTAGCAGTAAAGGATCTCTGTACACTCTTAGGTCATCAATTTCTCCAGCTTTAAAAGGGGCTGTTATTATGCACCAGTATTCCACTCTTCAGATCACTAGTGTCTTAAAAAGTATCATCATTGGTATCTTTTGTTTGAAAAGTTCTTGTTATCGAACCTGTCATTTTTCTTGCTGTTGTGGCTGCTACTGGAATGTGTTTTTTTTAAAGGTAAGGTCTTTTGCCATGATTACACCCAAATCCTTTACATTGCTTTTATGTTCTATGGTATGATTTGACTGTTTTGTACGTGGTTTCTGATTTTATCTTTTAATTTTTTCCATAGCACAGGAGTTGGAACTTGCCTTAATTAAGCTCCAAGCAACAGCCTAGTGGACCAAACTCTCACAAGTCAAGCCTGGCCTCGGGCCGGGCTTGGGGAGTAGACGAACTCCCAGAACCCCATCAACCAGGTATCAACCAGGTACCATATTATTTTCTGTGACCCATTGAAAGTTGTATAGCAAAATATCTCTATCAGATTTCCCTTACAAAACTTGGATATAAAAACACATTTTGATATATAAAAACAAAAAACAAAAATCCAGAAAGGCAGCTTTAATTCTTGATTTTTATTTAAAGTAATTTCCAGCAGTCAATTGTTGTTTCCCAATGGGGAAACAACAATGGGAAACAACAATTGACTGCTGGAAATTACTTTACTGTTTGCTCTTTAATTACTTTAATTGTTTGCTCTTGTTGTTCTTTATCATTTAGTGGAGGTCAATGTTCGACTCAAAGGAGGTGCTAGGCATGTTACTATATTCTGCAAATGGCAGACACGCTCTATAATTATTAATTGGATATTTGCATTAATAAATTTAAACACAAGTAAATGCAGGTCACGAATAATCCACAACAAGGTGGGTACTCATACCTCATGTAGACTAATCTGTATAATCCTCCAAAAGATACCTGATCAACCATGCTATAACTTGTACTATACATTAAACTGTGAACAGGTATGTCTAAGAGCCTGGTTGACCAGACCATCAACCTGGAAACCTGGGCAGAGACCAGGACACGAGGACAATGATCCCCAGAACCAAAACAAGGTAAGACAAGGTAACTGAAGACTGTTTCCCCATCTGGGAGAGAGAGTAAAGATGGGAGGAAAGAACCAAGAAAAAACAAAAAAAATGAGGAGGGCAACGAAAACATAACATTTTTGTATACGAGTCATTATATAAATTGCACTTAAATTAATACAGGGTTGCACCATTATTGAGTATTTAGGCACAAGTTATTCTCAAACACTGGCAAACCATGCACTGCCCCAGTTTAATGAACATACCAGTATCTTCTCCATCTCCTTTGATTCTCGGGTTTCACCATCTTCTTCCCCCGAGTCATCATTAGTTTTAAGACTGAAAAGAAAATTACAGATAAGAGTTAATTCTGGAAAATTGAGAAAACCCTGGTACAGTAAAATATAAAAAAATATACAATGGCAACTCGACTTACGATAATTTCGAGTTACGATGTAAATTTGTTTTGATCGAAAAATGCGACTCGGCTGACGATAGTGTTGTCGACTAACGATATTTGTTGGTACACATTTGGGTCGACCGAGCACGTGGTTCCCAGTCACACGGGCTGACCTGCCTCAGTTTACTAGATCAGCCCGTTTAGTGACGATCACGCCTATAAGAAAATTCGTTTTTGTGGTGATTTTTTGCTTTTTGAACATAAAACTGATTATTATATATCATGCCATGGGTCCCAATAAAGTCAGTGGTAAGGTTCAACCTAAGATAATAGTTGTGAGTAGAGGCAGCAGAGGATGTCCCCTCCTCAGTAAGAAAATGTGTGAAGTATGGGAAGAACTGCAAAGTTTTGTTGAAAAAACTCACCCAGATAAAGCTGTAGCAGGCCGTTGCATTGACCTTTAAATGACAATGTGATGTCTTACTACAGACAAGTGTTAAAATGTAGGGGAAAAACAAGTGTCTTTAGACAGATTCTTAGCAAGACAAGCAAGCAGCGAGTCACAAGCAGGTCCTAGTAGTATGCAGGCAAAACATGTCAGTGTGTGTATCCCAGAAAAGTCATCACTGCCTGATGTTATAATGGAAGGGGACTCCCCTTCCAAACAGTAACACCTCTCCTCCTTCCCCCTCATCACCATCTTCCATACGCCATCAAGAGTCCTCTATAAAGGTAAGATAAACATATGTACTGTATTGTAGTTAGAGAAAATAATTGTATTCAGTATAAAATGTATTTGTAAGTTAATATTTTGGAGGGTGGGGAATGGATTATTTCAATTCCCTTTATTTCTTATGGAAAAAATCACTTCGACTTACGATATTTCGACTTGCGATACGTCTCTGGGAATGGATTACCATCGTAAATTGAGGCCCCACTGTACAATATATGTATAAAAATAGTTTGTTTTGGAAACTATTTATTTCCCCATTTCTTTAGCACTACACACTTTGTACTATAGTTGGAAAGTGAATATATAAAAGTTTACATTCTTAAATACCAGTGATAAAACACATCATTGATTTATCAGCCAGGCAGATGGGACCAAAGGAGTGTAACAAATGTTCATGTGTATGAATTTGAGTGATAAGACTCATAGAGTTCAATAGTTTTTATATTTATTTAGTATAGTCTTGGTTACAACAGTCAGTTTGTTGGTAATGTAGTCAAGTATCACAATATACGAGATAAAGCCTGGAGCAGGTCTGAAAGCTTGAGCGAAGTCGGAGGTAGAGAGCTTGGATGCTGGGTAAGTGTATAGTGAAGCACTTTGAATGTAGGCGGGGGTCAAAAAGCTCAAATGAGGGATGAGAGCGTGGAAGCTCAATAAGCCAGAATCTGGCTATCTGCTCTGTGTCAAGGCTGTAGCATCTTGAGTGAGGAGGAACTAGACTCGTCGACCGTCGCATTGTTTCCGATGAATGTAAATGGTACTAAACATCTGCAGTATTTCTCAAGTCTATGAGTTAGACCAATGATAATTTGGTGAAGAGGGTTTATATTACAAACTTCCCCTCAGCTTGCTACGGGCTCACCATAGCCCGTGTTACCTGGAACTTTTTGTTTCTGGTAGCGAATCTTTAACAACAACAACAACCACCTCAGCTTGGCCAAACTGACCAAACATCTGGTAGGTTACCTGTCGGCTGGCCTGATTGATCCTGTACCCTTGGGAAGAGATATTAATTGTAATTACTGTGGTTGTAGACTTGGGAATTGTAATTAGTGGACCAAGAATTAGTGAAGGACTTCTAGAAATTTGGAACACTTAGAGATAGGTTATGTAGAATTAGCAGGACCCATTTCATTATCTGCACATAAACTAATGAGAATATGGAGCAAGTATATTACTAAATATAGATGTTACAGAAGCTAGTAAAAGTAAGTTAACTATGCACGGGAATAAGTTTTGTGCATCAAGCAAGAAAACAAACAAGTTAATTGATTACCTATAAATTATGTGAAAATTATGAGTATTTTATTTATTTTATCTTAATATTTTCTAATATTAAGTCATCAAATTGTTGCCTCCAAATTGAATGGCTTTGATAATGAATCAATTACATCTCAAAATTATCAAAATCAATCCACTGTAACATTTTCAAATTCAGTTTGTCTAATGTTATGTTGTCTACACACACAATGAATTTTGTATTTTTTTCAAATACCTGAATTTAGGAAATATTAACGAGCATTGATCAGCAGTTTAATCGATTCTCAAAAATTGCATTTGAAGGCCCTGAATGTCAGGTTTCTCATGAATTGCATGATCTGTCATGTGTTTTTTAAGTATGGGAAATATTTAAAAGTAAAGTACCAAATGCAGGCGATGAGTCACAATAACATGGCTGAAGTATGTTGACCAGACCACACACTAGAAGGTGAAGGGACGATGACGTTTCGGTCCGTCCTGGACCATTCTCAAGTCGATTGTGCTACGTAAAGGTAAACGTAAAGTACCAATGTTGACATCACGTTAAAATTTTATAATTTGAAAGGCTTTTTGTGTTACCAAAAAAATAATTCTTCAGAACCCTGTAATTTGGTGTTCATTTAAATGCGAGAAATCTGTGCAAAATATCAATCTACAAATCCACATATCGGATAGTTCTTGACAAGAAAATCTTTCATTTGTCAAAAACAACACTCAATAAATCGCCTAAAGACAAAACCTCTACTAAGCCAAAGAGCATTTGTTTTACACTAGTAGTCCTGTGTACACCAAATTCACCTAGCTCGCATCAATTTTAAAACTGTCTTTTTCTAAGCATGTGTGTAAATGCTGTATAATTAACTACATATCTAACGTTGCAGTTTTCATCACTTCGGGTTCCTTTAGGTCAGCTTTTGCACCCAAGGCCTCCTCGTGTACATGAGGAGGCCAGCGAAAGCCAACAGTGGATGTCAAACATTTGGCAAACATTAAAAAAAAAAAACGTTTCTTTACCAGTCATGCTGGGTGCTTCGTCAGTTGTCAAAAACTAAATTTTGAGAGGTCAACTTTTTATTTTTATTTATATATATACTGTACAAGAGTTCTTACATTCTTGTATAGCCACTAGCACACATAGCATTTTGGGCAGGTTCTTAATCCTAATTTTCCCCATAATACGCCCCGTCAAATTGTTTAACAACCAGGTACCCATTTACAGGCGAGTGAATAGGGGCTACAGTTAAGGATACAAACTCAGGCCAAAGCGCTGGGCGAGTGTCTTACCACTGCACCACGGGGAGGACTAAACTTGACAATTAGATAATTTACCACTGTTTTGCATATTTCAGCCCTTGTGGTATGTTCAGATAATGTTACCAAGTAAATCAGTTCTTAACAAATTAATGATAATTATATATTTATAATGGGTGAGATTTAAAGCATCAAGGGGGTGGCAGTGGACTTCACCACCTATGGCTTGGGGTAACCCCAATCACCCTAACAGACTTCCCCTTCCCAATGATGGCAAACCATGGTTTGACGGTCCTCGAGGTGCTATTTGAGTTTTAAAACTGTACTGTATTCACAATTCATACATGGGAGTTTTGCATATAGCTCAATTTCCAATTGCTAAAACTGTAAATATGACTTGGCTAGGCAGAGATGGGCAGGAGCATGCACAGCTCGACTAGCCTAGGCTAGGCCAGATTACTTTAGGCTAGGCTAGCTTAGGCCTGCTGGGCTTTAATACACGTTCTGGTTAAGTCAAATGTACAAAGTGACCTGTAACCTATACAGTATATCCTTTGTCTCACAAGTTAGCAGTTCTATTATATTCAGATAATCTCAACTTGATTTTTTTTTTTTTTTTTTTTTTTTTTTTTGAGTGCTCACCTGTTGGGTCCAGAGCTGTCTCCATTAAATACCTCCCTAACCCCCCAAGCAAAATAGTAGTACAGTTGGGCTCGACTCACACTCAGGAATCCTGGGTCCGAATCCCGGACAGAATGGAAAAAAAGGTTGGATTTTGTTCATCTAGCAGTAAATAGATACCAAAGAGCTTTGACAACAGAAGTGAGGGTCACATCCTGGATAAGGTCAGTGGTTTGACCTTAGGGGGAAGGGTTCCTCAACAGAAGCCTAAAGTATATGTATATATATACATATACACAGGTTGCCTGTCCCCCCGACAAAATGGAATATGATTATATGTCAATATATCCGTAACTGCCGAAGTCCCAGACAGCTTACCTGGCTCCATATTGCATATATATATACACACACATATATATATATCTAGTAGCCCTATTCCACATATCGCTACTTACGCATCATATTTGTTAACCATGCTGGTCATTCTAGTACGAGAAGGAATGGTGATAATTTAGAATAAAATCCTGGACGTGAACAGTGGCTTGAGGACACGAGGGGTGACTGCTCCAGACTGTGGCTCACCGTCGCCTCCTCCTCTCAAACTTTACCAATTTCTAACCCAAAGGAGCCCAATATTGTGTTTGCAGACTGATTTATATAGTTTTCAGCGTAATTTATATATAATTACCCAACCATTTGGGCTCAGGGTGCAGTTGCACCTCCACAGATCTCTAGTATCAGCTCATGATACTGGTAATGGCTCAAAAGGGCCACCACTTACGGGCTATTCATGCCCGTGCCACCTCTTGGGTGGCTTAATCTTTATCAATCAATCAATCAATCACTTGGGCTGGGCTGTAGGGCGTCGGTCTCGCTTCATGCGGGTCGGCGTTCAATTCCCCGACCGTCCACCAAGTGGTTGGGCACCATTCCTTACCCTTCCCCACCACGTCCCATCCCAGATCCTTATCCTGATCCCTTCCAAGTGCTATATATATTATAGTCGTAATGGCTTGGCGCTTTCCCCTGATAGTTTCCTTCCCTTCCCTTAATAATATATATATATATATATATATATATATATATATATATATAAAATGAAAACGCCATACCCCAGAAGTGACTTGAACCCGACTAGTCGGAGTTAGTCGACTAACTCCCATGCCTATTTACTGCTAGGTGAACAGAGGCATCGGGTGTAAGGAGACGCGCCCAGCTATAAATATTTTAATGCATACAGTACACTTACAATGCTTAATGGTTTTATTAAGATTATCACTGCACGTATTTAATACCATAAATACTCAAATACGATAAATTATCACTATATGATGCGTGACTTCCCGGTGGGCAGCGGCGGATAGGTTAGAGTCACTTAGTTACTGCCTACAGTTAGCAAACACGATTATTAGAATGGTGATATTATACAAGAGTTGTTACATTCTTGTACAGCCACTAGTACGCGTAGCGTTTCGGGCAAGTCCTTAATCCTATGGTCCCTGGAATACGATCCCCTGCCGCGAAGAATCGTTTTTTCATCCAAGTACACATTTTACTGTTGCGTTAAACAGAGGCTACAGTTAAGGAATTGCGCCCAGTAAATCCTCCCCGGCCAGGATACGAACCCATGACATAGCGCTCGCGGAACGCCAGGCGAGTGTCTTACCACTACACCACGGAGACGCAGCAGTCCCCGTGGCGAAGTGGTATCACTCTCCTGGCATTTCGCGAGCTCTTTGGCCTGGGTTCGTATCCTGGCCGGGGAGGATTAACTGGGCGTCAATCCATAATTGTAGCCCCTGTTCACTCAGCAGTGAATGGGTACCTGGTTGTTAAACGATTTGGCGGGTCGTATTCCGGGGACCATTAGGATTAAGGACTTGCCCGAAACGCTATGCATGCTAGTGGCTGTACAAGAATGTAGGAACTCTTGTATATGGTCAGAATTTATCTGGATCCAGTTTGTAATTTCCTTGACATCACAGAAGGCATACTTAGGAAGGTACTCGATGCATGCTTTAAAGTCGTGACACTCTGAGTCCTGATGGCGCATGTATAAACAAGTAGATGGCGTCGGTATATGTGTTTACCCCTTTGGTGACCAAGGAACAGTCTGCGTGGTGCAGTGGTAAGACACTCGCCTGGCGTTCCGCGAGTGCTTTGTCATGGGTTCGTATCCTGGCCGGGGAGGATTTACTGGGCGCAAATCCTTAACTGTAGCCTCTGTTTAACTCAACAGTAAAATGTGTACTTGGTTGTAACAACGATTCTTCGCGGCGGGGATCGTATTCCAGGGACCTGCCCGAAACGCTACGCGTACTAGTGGCTGTACAAGAATGTAACAACTCTTGTATATATCTCAAAAAATTTGCTACATAGATACCATAGAACAGAAAATCCTTGTTAATATGGGCCTAAAACTGTGTGTCTGCTGTAGATACATATTCCTGCAGGTACTTGATACTGTGCACTTGCTACAGCTTAAGGATGCATTCCAGCGAAGTTCAGTGGGTTTTTTTTTAGGGATATTCCTGCGCGGGCCCTAAGCCTATGCTTGGCCCATTAAGTGTTAGTTATTTCTTGTTTCTGTTTTACTTAAGTGGAGTATGAGTATTTAAGACTCATATGTTCGCTTTAGTAAGATTATGCCCCATGTGTTTAACAACTTCTGCTCTGTTGAATCTAAGTTGAAATCTTATTGGGCTTGTAACTGTGCACTGTTAAATAATGTTCCAGTGGTCTGTCGAGAATTTCTCCACAGTGCTGACAAGTTCAGTGCTAAGGTTCACTTAACAAATTGAGAGAGAAGGTAGTCTACCGTCCTAGATGTAACAGTTTCGGAAAGGAATGATGGTTTTCACACTGCAGGCTACACTAAGGAAACCAATATAAGAATGTACCTGTTATTTACAAGCGGAGTGTTGTCAATACCTATGTCAACCGTACCTTTACACACAACTCCAGTTGGAACCAGGTTGACAAGGTAGGTTGGCCTAGCAGTAAATAGATACCTGGGCCCAGATTCACGAAAGCACTTACGCAAGCACTTGCGAACGTGTACATCTTTCCGCAATCTTTGACGGCTTTGGTTACATTTATTAAACAGTTTACAAGCATGAAAACTTCCCATTCAACTGTTGTTATTGTTATAAACAGCCTCCTGGTGCTTCGGAGCTCATTAACTGTTTAATAATTGGAAACAAAGCCGCCAAAGATTGAGAAAAGATGTACAGGTTCGTAAGTGCTTTCGTGAATCTGGCCCCTGGAAGCCAGCCAACGGTTGGGGGTTGTATTCTGAGGGAGGTCAGTAGCTGGCCTAGGAGAGGGGGGGGGGCGGCGCGCCACGATACACCTAACAGAGGTTCTGTCCCCGACATTTGGAACGTGGGTGGTCACTGGCATCTCCTCGGCACCAGGCTCTGCACCCTGGCCATTTCACGGCCACTTACAGCTACACTGATAAAAGTTGCCCTATTGGCCTTTCATAATATACTTGCTAGCCTAGATTCTGACACGAAAGGTAAACTTCGACGTTTCTGATGACTTGTTTTGTAGACGTGGGACGTCACGTTGACGCCCTATACGTCATAAAGGTCATAAACTATTACTAAAAACCTAATTGAACCTTCAAGTGATTCATCAATATATCGTTGCCTAATTTGGCCGAATGTTGATATTCAGAGGTAAGATAGTTATCAGGAGAAATGCTAAAACAGTACGACTATTTAGCACTTCAAAAGGATATGAGGATAGTGATCTGTGTTAGGGAAAGAATGGTGCCCAACCACTCGAGCTCTCGGGGATCGAACGCCGACCTATTAGTCCGTTGCTGTACCATCCGATCCACTTAATATTCAAAGATAGCATTAAACCCCAAGGAATATATGAGTTTTCAACATGTACTTGTGTGTTTGGTGCAGAACAACACCGTCATTGACCCTAGAGCAGGTCGTTCTCTGACCCAGATATTGCTTGCCAACAGAGAGAGGATTCAGTGTGTGGTTCTCGAGCGTGAGAGAGCAGAGAGAATAAATACGGGATCCAGTAAGTTCAGTAGAACTTCGGTTTCAACTCTTTTACTCTGTCGTAGCTCAGTCGATTGAGGCAGCGTCTGGGATGCTCTCGGACGCAGGTTCGAATCCTCGTCACGGCCCTTGTGGATTTGTTCAACTGCAGAGGACCTATTGGCCCATACGAAGCAGTTCCTATTTATAATGTAGCGAGTAGATTATCCCAATAATATACTCGCTCGAAATGCTTTGTTAATATTCCTGTCAACCTTTGGAGATGAATGAGGTGAGGCGTTGCCCGGGCAACACGGTGAGGTGTTGCCCGAGCATATAAGCAGCAGAATAGCAAACATTAACCAGAGTCTACTTTCAAGTGTGGTCTAGAGCAGACACTTGCGAGATACTGTACCGACGCTCAGTGCGCTCAACTCACACCAAAGTATCACCTGTGTACTTCTGTATATTCGACCAAATATATATATAGTATCTTAGTGTCTGTGTTTATTTGTCACCATACTTTACGTAACAATAGAACCATTACAATAACCACCCAATCCTACTCATATACATGTCCAACACACGTTTGAAACAATTGAGGGACCCCACCTCCATCACGTTACGTGGTAATTGGTTCCATAAATCAACAACCCTGTTACTGAACCAGTATTTACCCAAGTTTTTCCTAAATCTAAACTTATCCAATTTATAGCCATTGTTTCATGTTCTGTCTTGTGTTGATACTTTTTAATACCCAATTAATATCCACTTTGTTATGTCCATTCATCCACTTGTAAACCTCTGTCATGTCACCCCTAACTCTTCACCTTTCCAGCGAATGCAATTTAAGCTTTGTTAATCTCTCTTCACATGACAGGTTTCTAATTTTGGGAATTAACTTTATTATCCTACGCTGGACACGTTCAAGTGAATTTATATCCATTCTATAGTACGGCGACCAAAACTGAACTACATAATCTAAATGGGGCCTAACCAGACAGAACATGTGACTAATAACAAATACTACTACTACTAATAATAATGTTAATAATGGTGACACTGGATAATAAATAATGTCAGGCTCGGATAATTGTGCTATCGCTCGCATAATTGTTGGATAATGTACACGATAGCTGACCGAGGAACCCATTCTGAAGACGGTTTGGTGAGAGCTGCTTCTGAGGAACCTCGATTTCAAGTAATATCATCAGGAGACACTTTCCAGGTGAAGCATCGCTGTGACCACAGAGGAGCCGTGACCCCGGCCTACAGGGAGGGGCCAGGGGTCACCTCCTGCTAGTTCTGGCGACCTTTGTAGTGCCTGGCGCTGATGGCGTGATTCCGTCACTCTCTGTACCTCCCCCGTCCAGTCACTCTTTGTTGTCTCTCTCCTTCGTCGTCTGCTGTCTCTCTCCTTCACCCTCATTGTCTATCTCCCCTCACCATGGGATGTTCCCTCACCCTCACTATCTACCTTCCGTCACCCTCACCGTCTATCTTCCCTCACCCCTCACTATCTACCTTCCCTCACCATTCACTGTCTACTTCCCTCACCTTTCTTTTAGGGTGTTCCTCTACCAAGTTATCCAATATATATCCCCTGAAGTTTACCTTATCCACTGTTTTCGCTATAACATGGTCTTTCCTCGCTCCTCGGGCATCAAATATATCGGTGTTTATAATTTTATAAATTCGTATCGGGGT